TGTCCGTCGCCATTGTTAGATCTTCACGTTTTCTCGCTATTCCGAATTAAACACCCAACAATTTCTCCGCAAAAATTCTAGCCCAGTCGAAGAAAAATCAAAATTTCAACGACCATGCTCGCGAAAAATGTGTGAACAAAAAACGCTGCCATACGTAGCCAAAAACGTCGCCAAAACACTGTAAAGCTACGTCAGCCCTACGCCAAATATATAGGAGGCTCAATGACCTTCGGCTTCTAGAAAACGAAGGTCAACTGGTAAACTTAGCAGCCTCCATGCCAAAACTCCGCATGCTGGCGATCACATGAACAAATGGAAGGTTTCGGAATCTTCGAAATCAAAGCACGACCCAAGATAATGGATTAACTGCTAAATTATTGGGTTTTTCTTTCGGTTTTTACTTTTTCCAGCATATAGTGCTGGCCAATCTGGTATTGGTATTGCTCTGTGCCCGCGGGCTGAGGCTACTCTGGTTGATTAGATCTCAATCAGTAGCCTGATTTGTACGGTCCGACTGTCTGATTCGCTCAAAGTTTCGAAGTCGCGCGGGGACGAACTTTGTCTGTTTGTCATCGCTGCCTGCGCGCCCATAAACTGTAACGATGCCTAGCATCATCATCATCATTACACGTTAGCTGGAGGTGGAAAACACTTCAGCTAGTGTTCCGCAATACAGAAGAGAACAAAAGGAAAACAATCGGTGGCACGCCCGCTGAGTCCCCAGTAACGGATGGACAGCATTCCGGAGAGCTAACAGCTGGCTGCCGTAAAAGAGAGTTGTATTATGCCTAACAAGTGAGATCGTGATTGGAGGGGATGCTAAATAGGAGGGGGATGGACAAAGGAACTCACAACACAAACGCCATTGGGGCCGCCTCCAAGCCATATCAGCAAGTGTGTTCAACCAAACGTGTTCACCGTCCTTAGGACTCCAGCCAGGCGGTCGGGATGCACCAACCGACGCCAACTTCGAAGTGTGGGTTTTCATTTCTCTCGACCAAGTCATCACTTGGCCTCCCCTCCTCCTCTTCCAACCGCACCCACAACGCGCAAACGATGCACATCGCGGGAGTCGGCGTGCTAGCATGCGCAACACGTGGCCCAGTCATCGGAGCCTGGTACGTGATATAATGGTGCGTAGCGGTTCACTTGCTCTTCCTGCACCAAATGCGCGACGCCGAACACGCTCATTGCTCACGCGGTGTTCCCACCAGATATGAGCTAAGCTGCGAAGGCAGCCTCTTCATGTCTGTCGACCTGATGGGCCGGATTTCACAGCCATATAGGAGAGTTGAACGGACGGCTGCGTTGTAAACTCTACCCTTCAGGGTGAGAGTAATGTCGCGTCTGCGCTACAGGTGGCGGAGATTGGCAAAAGCACCTCGAGCTTTTGCTATACGGTTCGTAACCTCATCTTCAATCCCACGGGTGCTAATATAGCTGCCCAGGTACTTGAATTCTTGAACGACTTCAAGCAGATCACCACCAAGCGTTAGCGCAGGGTTGGGTCCTTACCAATTTTGCAGAAGTACTTTGCATTTCGATGGAGCAAAGCATAGCCCAAAACGATAGACAGCCAGTGCTAATCGGTCCAGTGCTGTTTGGCATGTTTGGGAGGTGTCACAGATTAGGGCAATATCGTCCGTATACTCCAAGTTAGGAAGTCGCTCACCAGTAAGTAACTCCACACCTTCTAGGTCGTGTCCAGCGAACGCTGTTTCCATGACTTCATCAATAGCGAAGTTGAAGAGGAATGGTGACAGTGGGCATCTTTGTCTCACACCGCTGGTGATACTGAAGGGTGGCGAGAGTTTGCCATAAACCTTCACCATGCCCAAACTATGCGCGTACAGCGCTTTGATAATGTTTACATATTTATCAGGCACACCTTTCCTCAGCAGACAGTCCCAAAGGGCACATCGATCGACTGAGTCGAAGGCACCTTTTATGTCAAGAAACACGACAACGGTGGGTCGCCAATAAACATGGCGGTGCTCCAACACTTGACGCAATGTGAAGATGTGGTCGATGCAGCCCCGACCTCGACGAAATCCGGTTTGCTCTTCACGAATCTGGCTTTCACAAGTGCCAGTCAGTCTGTGGAGAATGACAGAGACAAGCAGTTTAGAGGCAATCGTAATCAGACTGATCCCTGTATAATTGCCGCATTCCAAACGGGAGTTTCCCTTGAAAATTGGGACAATGACGGAGCGGTTTCAGCCTGTCGGGACTGTCTCCTGCTCCCAAAGTTTTACTAGCGGCTCGTGTAGATCATCTACTAGAGCAGATCCCCCGAATTTGAAGAGGGCTGGGGAATTCTATCCGCCCCTGCGGCCTTATGCAATTTTAACAGCCTGATCTCACGTTCGACTTCTGCGCGTGAGGGCGGATCCAAGGTGACGGGCGCTCAATGCCCGAAGAAGAAAGCGATAACTCAAGTTGGTTAAATTGCCTTGCAAAGTGTTCAGCCCAACGCTCCAAGCGTTTTGACAGGTTGTGGATCGGCTGCCCAATCTCGTCGCTTATGGTCTCGCTAACACCAGCGCCAACTGAACGAGCTCCTTCGCCACAGAAGAAGCACGGACACTGTAGTGCTGACTGCGCATCTGAACGCTCAGGTTGGGAACTTGTCCACTGATGAACTTCATCGGGGCAGCCGACATGGTGTAGGCTCCCGTAATAATCTCACTGTGTGCTAACTTCATTTGTGTGAGGATGCTCGCTTATTTCTTGCGAGTACTAACTTCCGACACAGCACCTGCCTTAAGGCGATGTGGTGCCCATCAGCTTCAAGTCAGACATGGACGCAAATCGATCACATCGTGATCATTTACGGCTGGATAGACTATCCAAAACTTTCGCTCGATTTGGAGCACATGTGTGGACACTTACCATGCAATTGTATGTGTTGATCTGCGGGTGCGTTTTGGCGGACGCCCACGACGGCACTCTGAGAGCGTAGACACCAGTCATTTGGAGAAGCATGATGTTCTGAGTGTGTATCGAAGTACGCTGTCATTCGAGTTGAGTAAGTGCTCGCTGGATGCGGTTGTAGGTCGCTAGTCGTGTGTTTACCAATTGCTGGTAAGTCCTGTGATACATCTAATAGCCAACATGGACCTTAGATCTCTTGGCCATCTCTGCAACTTATCGATGCTCGCTGGCACATTCTGACTGTAAGCGAACACAATGGGACTTGCAAACACCTTATGTCGAAACTGCCTGCTAATCTCATCATACGTCAGACATTGTACTGACCGCTGCTCTTGGTAACCATCAGAAATTATTCCGTTTGATACGGGAAACGGGAAGTAGAGGACTTACTGTTAGTGAAACTATATGTGTCGAGGATGCATATCCTATCCACAATCTGTCAAAACGTTCGGAGCGTTGGGCTGAGCACCTGGAAAGGTAATTCAATCTAACGGAATTGGTAGATTGCTCACCAGCTGGTGAACGCCCAGATACTTAGTCTGTCCCTTTGGATTCACACTCTCGCTCAGAAGTTTAACGTAGGATCGGACTGACGAAGTAAAATAAGGCCGCGGGACCAGATGCTCTTCATTCAACCCTTATCAAATTCGGGAGACCTTCTCTTGCTGATGATTTACACGAGTTGCTAGTGGAACTGCAGAATCAAGAAACTGTTCCAAACGACTGAAGCCGACCCGTTATAGTCCCAATTTTCAAGGAAGCTCACTTTTCTAATGTAGCAACCATAAATGAATCAGCCTGATCTCCATCGCCTCTATTTTGCTTGCCTCTGTCCTCTTTTTCAGACTGACTGGCACTCGGGAAAGCCGGATTCGTGAGGTGCGAGCCGGGTTTCATCGAGACCGGAGCTGCATGGATCACATTTTCACCTTACATCAATTGTTGGGTTACCGCCAAGTTTATTGGCGACCCACCATAGTCTGGTTTCTCGACGTCAAAGGTAACTTCGATTCGGTTGCTCGATGTGCCGTTTGTGACCACCTATACAGGAAAGGTGTCTCCGAGAAATATGTAAATATTATCCGGAGGCTATGCTTGCTTAGCTCGGGCAGAGTGAGATCTTACGTCAAGCTGTCGCTGCCTTTCTATATCACTAGAGATGGAAGTCAAGGATGCCCGCTGTCACGTCTTCTCTTTAATTTCACTCATAGAGATCTCATTCATTGGGCACGACTTAAAAGGTGTGGATATCCCAGGTGAACGAATATTTGACTTGGACTATGCTGGTAACATTGCCCTTATCTGTGACAGCTCACAAACGCGCCAAGCTGTACTGGGCAGATTAACATTGGCTGTCAGCCGTCTCGGGCTTTGGGTTGCACGCTTGAATTGCAAAACTTTTCTCCAAGCTTGGCATGGACCGCCTCCTTCACAGACCCTAGGTTGGTATCGGCTAGAAGCCGTTCAAAAATCCAACTACCTAGACAGTTATCTCAGCGACTGTTGAATCGAAGATGTGGTCACAAACCGCGACCCGTCTTGTGCTTGGCTCCTGATGTAAAGAGACGGCTCGCAGTTTGCACCAGTGCGCGTTTGTTGTTTCTTTTTCGGATCGTCTGTTTGAATTGTAATACTTTGAATGTAATGTTTGAATTGCGTCTGTTGCTGCATTTTCTGATAGGTTATAACTGCTTATAATGCGGAACAGTGTAAGCCGCCTTTTCTTTACACGATAGCAATCTGTTTGTGACGGTGTGTCGACAATCTATTGTTGTCTCTATGACAAACGTTTGTTGAGGGCATTGAGGTTTTGCACTAGGTCCCCTATTTTGTCCTTCGTTCCGTAAGCCACCATGGTTGTACGACAGCGAAGCATCAGTTCAAATAACTTGTACTGCTTTTGCTGATGGGTTGAGTGGAAACAGCATTGACCCAACGCGTTTACTTACGGCCCACTTCTGTACCAGAACGCAAAAGCACACTACTTCTCCTATTACTTTCCTTTTGTGATTGAGGCTACTGAAGCTCTACAGCGTTGTTATCTTTATCCTATTTCTACTTTGTTCTGCAGCTTTTTCTAATGACTGAACAGAGCAGTCGCGAATTGCGCTTACAGCGTTTGCGAGAATTGGATTTGAGACGGGTAGGTTGCTCCTCCTTCATTTTCATGTTGCTGATGCGATTGATCAACTTCACTGTTTTTAGTTGAAGTTTTTTCTCAAAATTCCTCTTTGTTTTGCTTCTTTACCTGGTTTTCCCATTTACTTTAAAAGTACACCTGTTTTACACTTGGGTAGAACCATAGTTATACATCTTCAGATTCTGTAACCAGCGCAGCAGGCACCCGAACCGTTACATGCAAACATCACAGTTAACCTCCACTTTATGGCATAAAGCGGCTTTTAAACTGCAGTTCGGTATTTATTTATACGTCTTCGTCGGCCCGTAGTGTTAAGCATCACAAGGCTTCCTTGTAATTTAAGAGCGCGGGTTTGAGCCTGCATAAGGACCGGGCGACCCCCGCAGTACCTTTAGCCCACATGCGATTGATGGTGGTTGCGCGGCAGCGAAGCGTCCGTACTGCGTACCGGCGTACTCATGCGGCTGAAGCACGGCAGTCGGTTGTTGCATAAAGTTGGTGTCAATTATCGCACTCCACATATTTCTCTCGTTTTTATATCTCCTGCAGTGATAGCCAGCTGTTTGTGATGGTGTTGTTGACGAGGTGTAGGGGCCTTGACTCTGAATGTTTGTTTAAGGTATTAAGATTTTACGCTAAGTCCTCATTTTCTCCCTGTTATTATTTTTCGTTCCGTAGGCCACCATGGTTGTACCGTGGTGAAGCATCCGTTCAAATGGCTGATGTACTGTGCTACTATTGATGATGGTAATCTACATTGAAAATGTGAGATCTGCAGTTACGACCCCGGACTCGAGACAGTAGTATAAAATGTTGTGCCGCCACCTTACATCTTCCTGAAAGTCATCAGTACTACGCCGATGCGCCCCACGGACGTTTCAGAGCCACGCGACCACCACTAGTCTCGTGCGGAGTAGGGACATTGCGAGGTCTCCCGCACCCACGCTCGTTCGAACGGGTGCCGCCCAGTAGACGCCCACTTCTTTGACCACAGGCCAACTTACAGCTTGTTAGCGTTATACATGGATCCACGACGTCTTCTATATCCTATACGTGGCATACCATATGCAAGCGCTTTGTCATTAGTTCTGATTATCCGTTTCCATAGCGTCAAATACACAAGACGCAGTTATTTTGTCCTTATGCTGAGCACAAACTCACTGCAAATGTATTTAAAGCTATACCGAGGAGTTTACTTACTACCAATACAGATTTCAAGCGTATCATGATCAGACATCCCTTCAGGGGAAAATGAAGGTAAAGCAAGTCCAATCCAATGACAAGGCTACTCTCCGTAATATTTTTAGTTCAAAACAGATGTAGAAGCAAGCGACTGATCTACTGTGGAGTTAAATTCATCCCAGTGCAAGTGCGTGCCTAAATTTTCAAGTTCAGTCTGTTATATGGTTTCTACCTTGAACTTAGCCTTGGGGAAGTCTCTGCCAAACATAAGTAAGCTGGACATTGCAATAAACAACGTTAACACCTCAGCGGCCGCAGGATGCGGCGAACTACCTTCTAGTACTCAGACGGCAGCTAAAATGCCTCTCAATCGTTACGGGCGAGATTACGTTACAGATCAACTTAGGACACCTAATCAAGAAATCGCGTTCGAAGGAAGTCGAAACCAAAACAAAGCTACTGAGTCACTTAAGCGCAACGCTACTTTTTACTAGAGGGATTATGTGACCGATAGAAACCAAATTGGTAATCCCATGCAACACTGATGTTCTTCGAGGAATACCCAATATTCCAATTGCAAGAATATTTCTTCTAGAGTCAGACATCAACCTCCGGTTATAAGCAAAACTCTTCCATACTTCCTTTCTGGAAACTTGGGGCAGCCCTTTAACCGGTAAGCTGCAAGTGTTATCGGATCTCGAATCTATCACCCTATTCATCCACCACCCCCAGCTGCTACACCCACAAACATTGTAAACACAAATATGTTCTCTCTGCCAATTGTTGAGTACTCTAGAGCTGCAGTGTGTCACCAAACTAAACGTGCTAACATATTTGCTTTAGACAAATCACAGAACGTGTGCCCGCCATGGGTGAACGACCTAAGCTCACTCCAAATACAGACCATGACCCAGCCAACACATGTCAATTACTGCGAACACCCTACTAACCCTTATTTCGTGGTGATATCAGTCAAGAACACTGTGCCACTTATAGATATAGTCAACCTCATGTCACCATTGGGAACGCTAGGTATGTGGGATTCACCACCATACCGTGAGAAAGTCCTCTCTGTGTATGGATTAAACCAGGTGGGTGAAAACTACACAAGAATACATCAGCCCCGTCAAGACACTACTAATTTGTACCCATATTCTCCAGTTGAGAATGCATTTTTTCTCGTCGACGTACCCAACTATAGGGTTTTTTCTTAAATCTCACGCACCACCCTATGCCGCCGCTAGTCATTTGACCCTTGACAGTCCCAGGCATAGTGACACCTATCAGAGGAATAGAGGATCGCTTAACTAATGCATTATGTAAACGTATGGATTATCCCTTTATGATGGTACACTCAAACTGGTGCTCATCAATACCGGTTCTCTAGTACATAAAGTACGCTTGCTCCATTGTTTCGTCACCCTGCAACCAAATATCCTTCTTAGTACCGAATCGCGGTGTACGAGTAAGAATGCGGACCATCTTGTTACTCTCCAAGGTTATTTCTTTCGAAAGGACCGCTGTCGTGGTAGGGGAGGCGGTTGCATCATTTACTGTATGAACAGCTTAGGAGCTTCACGATGCATTGAAGAGTAATTCTCATCTCTTCATTTGTGGTTAACAATACCCTTGGGATGCTGCTTGGATATGTTTATTTACCGTCAAACTTTTGCGCCCTTGAAAAGGATTGCTTCAGAATGCGATAAGGCATGCCTCTGCATTTCCTATTCGCTTTAAGGTAGTTGGAGGAGATTTCAAGTTACCAAACATTTCATGGATTGTATGCAAAGGTACAGGAAAGCAATCTAATTTATTGACTTGCCTGCTTAGCGGAGGCTAGACACAGCATGTAACATCCACACGGTTGCATAATACATTCGACGTCTCATTTGCTGCTGCTCCAATAGTTGTTGTCGACATACTAGACTGTCTGCACCGTAGTGATCACAATGTTGTCAGTTGTAAAATGAATATACACCTAAAACCCCGTCGGGACACGTGCGTAATTTTGGTAGAATAAACTGGAGAGACTTCGGTACCCCTGTGCATGTTTCTGACAGAACCGATTTCTTCCTAACTTATAACCCAGGGGTGTCTTTTCAAGGATTTTATGAGAACCTGAATAATGCATCAAAACATTGTCGCCTGCTCTAACTTGCATTTGAAATACGTTGAAGCTGCAGGGAAAACAGCATGAATTCAAGATTAAAGTTCTTTCCAAACAGTTTCAACAAACTAATGACTTTAGAGTAGTATTCAGGCTTCACAGACTGTTAATAATAATAAAATATGAGACTTCTTTGTCTCAAGAAAGAAGAGACTGGAATCACAAAAACGCTACTTCAATATTCTAAACAACACGATTACTAAAAACGGGGATTTGCACACAGCTACATCGTATCACCCCTGAGGGCATCCTTATCGATACTCTTGCAGTTTTAGCTGATGCTCTTAACAATTCTTTTGCTGACCTTTTTACTACTGTGAACAATACAAATTGCGACCACCTATACAATACTTTGGGCCATGTATTTCTAACGTAGATTTCGACACTGGTTCTACCATGCGCATAATTAACGCTTTAAAGACTACATTTCGTCCAGGTCCAGATGGAATTCCTCCAGTACTTTTAAAGTCCGGTGGGAATGATGTCACCTGCTTACTACTGAACTTATTTGCTACATCAATAACAACTGGGTTTTATCCCGATCATTGAAACCTGACGATAATGACACCACGCCATAAAACCGTGCCAAGACGTAACGTTAACAACTGCCAGCCCATAAATTACACCGCTATAGTTTCAAGAATCATGGTGTGCCTAGTTAAAAATGGAAATCTTAAATTCTTAACATCAAGCAACTTTTTGTCACATTTGCAGTACGTATTTCTTCAAAAACCTTCAATTTTCACTTGCCAGCTTGATTTCTTTGATCACTTAACGAAGTCAACGGACTCTAGTAAGGCCTTTATCGTACTTCACTTGGACCTTCAAAAAGCCTTCGACAGAGTTTCACATAGAATGCTTATAGCTAAACTTCGCTTTAGTGGAATCACACTGATTACTATCCCCGTTGGAGGTTGGTCGAAAGCAGTCAAGATAGGCGACAAGAGATATTACTAGTAGAATGCTACAAAGTAGTTTACTTGTCCCTCTTCTTTTTCTATATATGTAAATAATCTTCTCCCTACCATAAGGTATGGTAGACCTTATTTAATTTCAGATGACATGAACATTTTGTACGCCTCCGAATCTGAACATCTGTTTCTTATATCTGCTATCCAGTGACCTAGCTTCACTGGGAGAACGGTGTATCGGATTTTCCATAACATATTCAACATCTAAGTGCATCATATGCTATAGATGCATGGTTCCACCTGAATGTTTGTTTTTACGTGAAATCCAACTCTCTTTATGTGATCCGATATGTGACTTCGACCTCTGTTACCCAGGTTCGTTAAATTTAAAAGAACAAATTGAGTATACAGGGGCTAAATCACGACAGACTGTTGGTATGAAATGCCGCTTGTTTATAACAAGCGACGTTGCGTTCCTGTCTTTCAAACTATACGCCAGACCATTGTTGGAATACTGTGCCATCACTTTTAGTAGCATTAGAAGATGCGACACGAATGCAATCGAAACTACACAGAGGTCTATTACGAAAAGAATTGTGGGTTGCACCTCTACGCTCGCTTATAGAGATTGGTGCCACTTGTTAAAAATCGTACCACTATGGCTTCGAAGATTAAAGCTGAATTTAAGTCTGTTATTCAAAAATGTCCATCCACTGACACACACTAGTTGCTACCAGCCGGTATTCCAACAATCTTCACTGTATGATCTAAGCAAAATGAACTACCCCGTTGCAGCACACGTCTACGGTACAGCATCTTTACACATAAGTATCCAACGCTATGGAATCGATTATCTCAGGCTATCAGAAGTTCATCTTCTCTTCGGTCATTTAAGATGCAACAAGAGATTACTTAACAGTTAATAAAATTAAAGAACTGCTTTGTGTTATTTACACAGACAAATGGGTGTACGAGAACAGAAAGGAAAAAGGAAAGGCCTTAGCACTACGCCGGTACGCAGTACCGACCCTTCAATGCCTCGCAATCACTACCGGTCGCACGTGGGCTAAGGATACTGCGAAGGTCGCCCTACTTCTACGCAGGCTAGAATCCACGCCGTCGGATTATAAGACAAGCTCGTGACATTCAGGCTACGGGCAGGTAGTACGAAAACAGGCCTGATAACACTTAAGCACCTACGGAATCCGTAGCACAAAAGTGTAGACAAAGATGGGGAAAAAGCTTGTCGATACAACGTGAACTACCTCGTTATTTTATCACGAGTTTCTTTGCTAGGTAAATTAGTTGTCTCCCATTTCTTACCTTGTCACATCGATATTTATCTTCGTTATCAATACACGTTAGTTAAGGGTGAGAAACACCTTAGCTAATGTGCCGCAATACAAAAGATAAGATACAAAAAATACGCTGCAAAAAATCAAAAGCAATTAATATAGTTAAGTGAGGTTCATCGCAGCCAGTTTCCAAATCAGATAGTCGTCCACATGCCCGGAAAAGCACTAGACTGCAGTTTCAGCCTGTTGGGCATCATCAGTAGTGCGCATCCATCGGATCCATCAGGATTCGAACCAATGACCACCAGCGGCTTGAACCGCCAGTCAGCAGCTTATGCCACTGGGCCACGGGGGACAGCTTCGGACCGTCATGATTTACAAGCTAACTGCGATGAACCTCACTTAATTACATCAAAATCCCCTACTCATGAGTACATCAAATTATATCCGCCCTGACAGTTTCTAAATGCTATGTCGTACATAGCTACTGTTAGTGGACGTCGTGTCTTTCGGGGCCAACCCTGTCCTCTGCAACGTTCGTAACTTGCATGGCAGTGGAGGATAAGACGCGCTATATCGCAGTTAGCTTGTAAATCATGATGGTCCGAAGCTGTCCCCCGTGGCCCAGTGGCATAAGCTGCTGACTGGCGGTTCAAGCCGCTGGTGGTCATTGGTTCGAATCCTGATGGATCCGATGGATGCGCACTACTGATGATGCCCAACAGGCTGAAACTGCAGTCTAGTGCTTTTCCGGGCATGTGGACGACTATCTGATTTGGAAACTGGCTGCGATGAACCTCACTTAATTACATCAAAATCCCCTACTCATGAGTACATCAAATTAATATAGTGTTAAATATTACATTATGCAATTCGTATGATGTTGGAATTGGAGGGGGAATTTAAAAGGACGGGATGGACAAACGAACACACAACGCAAACGCCATTAGGGCTGGCTCTTCGCCATATCAGCAAGTGTGTCCAATCAAAGGTGTTCATCGTCCTTGGGATCGCAGTCGGCCAGTCGGGATGCACCAACCGACGCCAACATCGAGGTGAGGGTTTTCACTCCTCTTGATCAAGTCATCGATTGGCCACCCCTCCTCTTCTTCAATCCGCACCCCTGGCGCGCAAACAATGCATGTCGCGGGAGTCGATGTGCTGGCATGCGCAACATGTGGCCTGGCCATCGGAGCCAGGTGCGTGATATAATGGTGCTGAGCGCTTCACTCGCTCTTCCTGCACAAAATACGTGACGCCGAACACGCTCATTGCTCGCGCGGTGCTCCCACCAGACATGAGCTAAGCTGCAAAGGCAGCGATGACCGAACGTGACTAGCCTTTTTATGTCTGTCGACCCGATGGGCCAGGTTTCACAATCACATAGGAGAGTTGAAAGGACGGCTGCGTTATCGACTCTGCCCTTCAAGGCGAGATTGATGTCGCGTCTGTGCCACAGTTGGCGGAGATTGGCATAAGCACCTCGGGCTTTTGCTATGCGGATCGTAACCTCATCTTCGGTCCCACATGCTTAATATAGCTACCCAGATACTTGAATTCCTGAACGAGTTTTAGCTGATCACCACAAAACGTTAGCGCAGAATGCGTTCCTGCTAATCTTGGAGAAGCACTTTGCATTTCCATGGTGCAAAGCATAGCCCAAAACGATAGACAGCCAGTGCTAATCAGTCCAGTGCTGCTTGGCACGTTTGAACTGTCACAGATTAGGGCAATTACTTAAATTGTGACACCTGTGACCTATGAAAACATGGGCACATGGATGAGTTTAATAGATGGGATTTATGTTTGATTTCTTTCTGCATCTACACTGCTTCTTACTGGGCTCTCACTTAGCTTAAATACCTACTAATGACCTACTGAATGACGTGTGCACATTGGTGGGTTGGATTATCTAGCTTTTTCCTTAGCTCTCACGTAGTGCTTCCTTCTCCCTACACAGCTAGGTGAAAAGGCCTACTGAAAGCGTGAACTATTGAAGCCCTGCAATTAACCCACCCTATTTATGTACTTAATTCCATTTGCCCTGTGTTATTCTATCCTACCCCTTGCATCGAGTGTCGTTAATTGTAATTGTTTTGTATGTTTCATGTTAGAGATATTTCTCAGTTTACTTTTTTTTCCTTAAAGTGTTATCCTGTCTGCTCACAAACTATCACTATTTATGAATTATTGTTATATACTAAAGTTATGAATTTTTTGGTTGCATTTTCCATGTGCATGTTGTCACTTACCTCCGTAAACATTATTATTTTGCTTTCTTTCCATTACCATCCGCCTAAACGTATCTGAACGTTTTTACATCTACCGTCGATGTCGAAGAATTTTGATCCGAAATTAATGGTGCAAGAGTTATTGGTAATGGAATCACAAGTGTTCTTGTAAAGCAAATTTGTAAAATCAGTTTGCTTTTCCTTTGTACCTTATAATCGAATCAGCTTACCTGGGCCGTGTCTCTCACCCAGCTGAGAATATACCAAGTTAATTTAAACTAACGTTCACCACTGACAGCACGTGCCAAGACTCCGATGCCATATTGTTCATTCCCCACTGTTTTCATCCCAAAAACCCAATGCATATTTTGAACGTATTTTCACATTACTTCCAAACCGTTTTCGTGTTTAGTTATCTGCACTCTCCTGTACTGTTTTTCTTTGGTTTAGAATGAAGCTAGGAAGCTCAATCACGCTGAAGTAGTCGAGGAGGACAGACGTTCCAAGCTTCCAGCCAACTGGGAGGTAAAGCAAAAACGACTACAATGGGAGGAAGAGGCTGAACAGTTTCGTGCTATGTGTGCACGGGAAAACGTTGATCCTGATCGAGCTCGGGTTCTGGATATTAGCGCCGACGTGGCTGACCGCATTGAGGCTAAGCGCCGGAAAAAGTGCAACACCGACGAAGGATTCTCATCATATGCGGACGCATCGCATCGGAAATATCTCAAACAAGTGAGGCAAATGAAACCGGATTTAAAGGCCTACGTAAAGGAAAAAGAAGAGCTGTAAGTACTCGGATTCATGAAGGGGAAATCTATTTACTCATATCCTTACGTTTAAAAGTTTATCAATAGTTCCACTATCCGTTGCACTCTGACGGAGATCACTTTATTCTGCAGCACTGAGCGAAACTGGGTGGGGTTTAACGTGGTGCAACTGTCTGTGTACCTTTCAAATCCACTGAGCTGTTCTGATTGCCGTTTGGGAGATACTCTAACCTGGGGACTAACTTGAGACCTCGTAACTGCGAATGGATCTCTGAGATATCGATCAGTATGATCGATGCACCGACGCAGGTTCTGGTAAGCACTGAGCTTCAACGTGTCCGCGACTCTCTGAAAGGTTACCTGACAAAGAGTTTTCGAATAGACCGAGAACGTTGGTGGGTGGCAGGGGTCCGTGAGATGGAGATAGCCAGTGCTATTCCAGCTCGTCTAGAACAGCGATCCGACAAATCCCTCAGTTAGCGAGCCAGTAGCTGAGAAAAATGGACAGTTGATCCATTCTCAGCCTCGTTGGTTTGCGCATTATGCGGAACATTTTTAAAAGCAATTCAGGAGGCCTATTACGGCACTGTCGCTTGCGAAATCACCTGAACTAACATAGGATGTAGATGTCACACTTTCCACTTTGGAAGAGATTGGACATGTGCTTTCTGTGTTGAAACGAAACACGGCTCCTGGACCCAACGACCTTTCTCCATCTTTGCTGAAATATGGTGACTCTGTTGATTGGACCCGCTTCTTTATTTAACACCATTTGGGACACTGAAGAGGTGCCTTCAGACTGTCGACTATCAACCGTCGTGCCCATCTTCAAGAATGATCAGCGTACTTCGTGCGAAAATCATTGAGGCATTAGCCTTTTTTCCGTTGCATCATAACTTCTCACAGGTATCATTCTCCGACGACTTACTGGTTCCCTTGAAAACCGAATCACTGACAGCCAGCTTGGTTTCCGCCCTGATCGTGGTTATATCAATCACATATTTACGCTTCGCCAAGTTTTAAAGCAGAGGCGCATACAGACGACCGACTATGGGGTTTTTCCTTTACTTGAAAGCCGTCTGACTCTGTTGACCGCGCCAGCTTGTCGCACTGCCTATCCATGAAGAACTTATCAGCTAAATTCCTCTAAATTGTTTTCACTCTCTCTACCGTAGCTCCCCAGGCTCTTCTGAGTTTCCCAGGACAAGTGGGATTTCCCAGGGTTGCCCTATGTCTCTTTTGCTCTTCAAATTTATGATCGGACTGATCATGAATGACTCGGATATTTCAGACTGTGCCGGAGTGGAAGTCCTACTAGGTGACCGACTGATAAACCTGGAGTATGCAGACGACAGCTCCCCTTGGATCCGGCGCAGTGGCTATGCAAACACTACTGCACAGATTTGTGCATAGCGCTGTGCGCATTGGTGTGTGCTTTTTGCCTCCAAAGTATGAAGTACTGTTGCAAGACTGGACCGGCACACCTCCAGTTCTATCTATCACCGAACAGCCACTGGAACTGGGGGATCGGTTCACGTGCCTTGGTGACTGCGTCACTTCTCATAGTGAGGAAGTTACTTCACGTATCAACAAGGCCCGTGTGACTTTCCAGAGGCTCAACTATCTGTGGAGACGCCGAGGTGTCAGCCTGTCAGTGAAAAGTAGGGCGTTTCACACTGCGGTAAGGCCGATATTACTGTATGGATCAGAGACCTCGCCAGTTCACAGTAAAGACATTAAGCGCTTGGTCGTGTTTAACCACCGGTGCTTACGGAATATTGCCAATGTCTGGTGTAATCACCGGGTGAGCAGTACTGATGTCCGCCAGTTCGTTTTCGTCAAGAAACCTTCTGGTGACTCTCTCGAGCGTTTAGTCAATCTTAATCACTTACATTGACTGGGACCGTTGACCGGCTTCCTCGGTGTGCATTTTACGCCGTGGTTGCACCAAATTGGACGAAACCGCGAGGTGACCAGTCCATGACGTGACATACAGACATGGAGAAATTGCCTGAGACTTGGTCAGGATGGTACATGCCGTCTTCGTGAATGGGCGCCTCGGAATTGTCCACACCAGTGGCTGGAGACCGTATCAGATATGGCGCAGTCATGCAGTCATTGGCGTCCCTGCATTCGGTTTCTTGCATCTGGTTTTCAACTTCGTTCCACTCTGGTTAGTCTAACACACCTTGCTTCTATTTTCTTTACATTCCATTTACATTCAACCCCACTATCTTGCCGTTGTTATTCACTGTTATTCTTACGATATTAGTCGTGGCATGTGGATCCACCGCACTCGGATCATAGTTGTTCAGTTGAATTGAGCGTAGGAGTGGGCGTCCTCGCGGTATACTCAGCCCGCGCTCGACTGGTGGGGGTTGCGCGGCAGCGCAGCGCTGTTAAGGCGTACAGCTGACACATTATTTTATTATTTATTTATTATTCAGTTGAATTGAGCTGAACCTGCTTAATCAACTCACTCCATATGCAGTGTAAACCCGGAGGAGTAAGACTGGGAAGCATGTAGATGGGGACAATGGTGGATTCGGAGCCGGCTTTCTTCCCTTCAACATGCCCAGCAGCAGCGTTCCTGTCTATCTATTTTGTGAACCATGCGTACCAGAAGTACACAAGGCGGTGGTTGGTTCCTGGACCATTTCACACCGGATGGAATCACTGTTTGAACCTAGCATAATCACGAGGACGGTGCACCTCGTTTCCCCAAACAACGATTAACAGTCTCCTGGAGCCAGCATAATCGCTGTGGGGTTTTCGACCGATAGACACCCTGCCAACATTCACATCAAGCTCAGCCACACTGGGAATATAAATCAACAGCTAACACCTGAAATGCAAGAAACCCCCTACGCATTCACGCGTACAGATCAAAAGCAGCGATGGTGTAGCACACGTGCCACATCCACCGCATTATTGGCCTGAGTTTGTAAGCAGTATCGGAAGCAGCGTACTTACCAAGCACCGATACTTACTCATCCAACTTACTCGGCAATTCTTCGATATTAGCCCCATCTGGCCACATTGCTATATTACCAAGCCTTCTTGATTTAGGCACACTGAATCGCATGTGTCGTAGCACCATGTGCTTGACATCGATGGGTTAATCTCCATCGGCGCATGTCGCTTCCGTAACCGGCGTTTTTCTTCCTGATGCGCCAGTTCTTGCTGGTGCACCTGGCAACGGCATTCTTGACGTGGCCATTGGCAGCGATCCACTGCCATTGTTATTTAACACTGAAAGCCGATATTTGTTCATAAAAAGCTAGTAACGTACTTTCCGCTTGTTCACTTTTTGCTTCCTTGTACTAACTTGCCCATATAGCAGGTGTTTCTGTATTCTAATCGAATCTGTGCGGCGTACATGTCTGAGCCATCGCAAGTGTTGCAGTAACGAAATACAATCCATTCCGTACATACCACTTTGACGGAGTACTTCCGTGTCAGGAACTCTGTCCCACCAACGGGTACGCATAACCCGACGCAGGCACCGTGGATGAAAGCGCCCAGAATGTGTGGTGTACTTTTTGTGTAGCGTCCATGTTTCGCTGCCGTAAAGAAGAACCGACAGCATTATCGACCAGTACGTCGTTAGCTTGGTCCCAACGATCAGCTGATTTTCCCACACCCGATGTTCATACTTGCCAAATGCAGCACTTGCGTTCGATGCGCGAATGTTGGGCTCGCTGGTCATCTGCAGGTCCATTGACACACGCTTCTGAGGTGGAAAATTCTAAGCCAGAAGGGAACACTTGAGCCGTTCCCCAATATTGCAAAATGAAAGAGAGAAAGGCATTAGCTGTACGCCAATACGCAGTCCCGAGGCTTCGCTGCCGCGCAATCACCATCGGTCGCACGAGGGTCTCTCTGCCCGGGCGCAGGCTCTAACCAGCGCCGTCAGATTACGAGATAAGCTTGCTATTTTTTGGCTGCGGACCGTCCCCCAATATGGCAGGGTAAGACCTGATATCTACGGTTTGAAGATTCGAAGAACTTTCTAGTTCAATCAACTTTGTCTGCGGAGACTTACCTGGTGACAAGATCCTGTGCGCAGCCATGGGGTGCGCAGATCATTACCAGGTAATATTGATCGGGCTAGTTCGTTTGATCCACAAGTAAAATTGGGCAAGTTGTGTTTCTTCTGGTACATGCTGGCTACCGCTCATCAAGGAAGGCGATTTTCCTTTTGTCGCATCCAGCATACCGCCACTTTATGTGCGAGTAATCATTGATCTTGCAACTCTTAATAATCAGTAATGAGCATGTTCAGCATCGCGTATTTGATGCAGGAAAACCGAGTGAACCGCTTAGCACCGCTAAATCACACACCAGGCTCCGATGGCTGCGCCTCGTGTTGCGCATGCTATCACACCGACTCCCGCGACGTGTATTGTTTACTCGACTGTGGTGTGAATGGAAAAGAAGAAGGGGAGGCCAATCGATGACTTTGTCAATGAGATAGGAAGTCCCTCACTTCGAAATTGGCGTCGGTTGCTCTTTCCCGATTGCCGGGCTGGAGACCGAAGGACCATGGAGCCGGTTCCAATGGCGTTTGTGTCATGGGTTTTCTTGTCCCTCGCCCTCCCGCTTATCTTTTCCCTTCAGCCACGTTCTCACACGTGATGCGTAGTATGAGCATCACATTACTTTTTTGATTTTTATATTGTGTTCTGAAATGTTCTGTATCTTGATTTTTCATATATCCTGTATTCTTGTATTACGGCACATTAGCCGAACTGAGTTTCTCACCTTCAGCTAGCGTCTAATGGTGATGGCGAATGATCCCAATAAAGTCCGGACGACCCACATTGCTTGGCCCCAAACTTGGAAGACATTACTCTCAACCGACGTAGGTGACCTTGACCCGTTTATATTTTTATATATGATGCTAAGCTATCGATATGATTGTGTGGGGCATCGGATGCTTCAGTTAATCTATCCCATCAAGACCGCCCTTTTCTCACACCATGACCTTCTGCTTGTGACTGTGTGTTGTGCTCAGTGTATAAGCGTCTAGTTCCCGTCTGTTTGCTTACCTCGAGTTTATCCTGTTCCCTCACTGCACATCAACAGACTAATTATAGTCCTACATCGTCGAGGCACGAGTGTGGAACACTAATGTATTGTTCCTGTTGCTGCTAACGATGATGATATTTGTTTTCTTTCATCGTTCCCATATTACTGCTCACATTTTGATGCTTATTTTCCCATGGCGTTCGGTTAAGTAGTTGTCCGAGAGCCAAAACGGACTGCGCAGTGATCCAAAGAACAAAGAACCACTTTGTACTGTACACAAATTTGTATTTCTATCTTATTGTGTCGCACTCACACTGACTGTTTATCGCTAGTCATCTACTTGAACTCATTTGTTTGCGAGATAGTCATCTGTTCGCTGCTGTTTGGATCACTGCCATTTTGGATGGAACAAAGTCACACTTTGTTCACAATACCGCAACCACATTCTAGGCTGTTCACCCAGCCCGTGTAAATACGTTAAGCTTGTGCTGGTGCCTCCGAATCGATTTCCACCCGCTGGCCGCTTCTTTTCCGCTCGTTCGGTCGGCCAGCCACCATCGCACTGTGCGTCGCTTGCTCAAGCTCGGTGTTGCATGCTGGGAACATACTTGCCTTTGTCCAGGACCATAGCTGTGCTTGACTCAAGACACAACAGACCAATTCCTAATCGTTCATCCGAATCGTGGCTTAATCGTTGTCAAATTCCTCTAGCAGTGCTGATTGGCTTTTCAGCCAGTGGCCGCTCGTCGGTTTCGCTTGCGTAATCTACCAACTGCCATCACAGCATTCCTAAGTCAATCCCTAGTTTTGGCGCCTAGCGAATTCTAAACGTACAGCTGTAAGGTGTCGACAGTGCATCTATACTCTGTATCGCTTCCTCGCTGCTATGCAACTGCAAGCGGTTTCACTCGAGCTAGAGTACTGTGGGCTCTCCCAGACGTGTACGGAAGTAGAGACCCCAATTCGCGACGTGCAGGTCGCAAACCGAACGTCTGAACCACAACATCTCAGTACTCCTAGCCTGAAACAAATTAAGTTACCAATTATTTAACCTCGATCTTTCGCACCTTTGCATTGGAACTTAAATAGCACTCAATTTTGTATTGTACTTCTACTTTATCCTGACTTCCATTGGAATTTGCACTGATGATGTGACCTAGTTTGGTGACCAGGCGTGTTTTTAAAACACTCTAAGATCCGGCCTCATTAACATTTGTGTTGTGTTTGTTTGTCCCTCTCCATTCCGCTTATCTTCCCTCCAACCACTACCTCGCTCCCGAAGCGTAATATGATATTAAACACTATATTACTTGTTTTTGGTTTTATTTTGTATTCTATAATGTCTTATATCACCTTTTTCGAATATCTCATCTGTTTGTGTTGCTGCACAATAGCTGACATGTTTCTCATCTTTACTCAACGTGTGATGATGATAATGTTAAAACACGCAGCTAGGGGAACGAACAAACACCCTCCCTTTCTTGTTTGACTCTGACGAGTTTATCCACGTTGAATCTTTTTATGTTACAGGTTCATGCCACGCTGCGCGTGTGGCTGGCCGGCATCTGTAATTTGCCTTAAATGATGAGAGCAGAGATGTCTCTTCCATTATACTATTGAATGTAGACCACCACGCCGTGCTTATGTTATTGGTGGCCAAGTACTTCCTTATTTCCAGTCTCTTTTGTTTATCTCCTCTTGTGTGTGGTTTTCAATCTGCCGAATAGCTGTGTGCTCGCATCTATTGAATGCTGTTCATTACGACTGAACTCAGCATTATTTACGTGCGCTGAAAGCTCCGACTAACGGTTTTCCTTACTCTCTGAGGAAAAATCTTTACTACGTCACAACTAACTGGCTGTTCAGATTGTTTGTTAGCCCCACCGTCGGCTAGTAACAGCAGTTTCTGTGACAAAAGTGGAGTCGCGGCCCCAAAAGCTTATCTAGCAAATGCTGTCTGATAGTAGCTAGTCGTTTTGGGTGAACGAAACCTGCACTTCGGGGCAGATAGAAGACGAGTCAATCGCCACTGAGGCGAACTGATCGCGATCTTTTGTGCCCGGGAGACAAGACAAGCGTCTAGAGACGCTGTTTGGCCACAGAAAAAGGAAGCGGATTGGCCCGAACAGCGGTGAGCAAACAGCGCTTGCGCACCAGCAGACCCAAATTGACAACAAGGGATGCGATGGCGGCTGGTTCACTGAGAAAAGGGGGTGACGTACAATTGCTGGACGGAAAGCCACTCAAGTGCGGTTCACACAAACTGGCTATTGTACGAGCCAGACGGACAGCATAGAATTGTCGCAGTCAGGCATGAGCCAAACAACTTCAAGATGACCCTAAGCAGCGTATACTTAGATCGGACCGAGCGTGGCGGCAGATGTACATAAGCATGCTAGGCGGTGTACGACGCGACAGTGGGAATCGGTCAGTTAGAAGCCGACGCTTTTGAATATCGCTTTACATTTTCATACGGTACAAATGATTTTGCGCTTTACGAACAACACCTTTTGGCCACTGCCCAGACTTTGTTTCCGATTTCGAAAAGATGCACAGCATTATATGCGTTGTTAATGAGTTCTGAAAAGACGAATGTATCGTTTTTCACTTTTCCGCATGCTTTGCAGGGCCTAGTATACAGTGAATCTTCCCTTAACACCATGCATCCCCTCTACCACTTTCGTATTTACATTCCTTTTTTCTTTTTAGTGGCGAACTCATGTTCCCAACTGCTAACACACTTGGACTCCAAGACCGTAAGGACGCTCCGGAGGCGGTCAGCCGTTTGGCTAAACAGGTAGAAGAACAAGGGCTTAAACGCCAAGCCTATAGTCGACGCCGACCGTTCGATGCTGACGCGGACATAGATTACATCAATGAGCGCAATAAACGGTTCAACGAATTGCTAGAACGGCACTACGGAAAGTACACTGCTGAGATCAAGCAAAATTTGGAGCGCGGTACTGCTGTATAATATTGTCCTTTAACCTTTACACTTTCCCCTCCCGGTCTTCCTCTCTTTCTCATGTATAAACACTTGTTTGGTACTTTAAATGATGTTCTTTTTCTTTCCTGGTCCAAGTCAGCCTGACATCTGTCCTCTTCCTGAATTGGCGGCTAAGGGATCGACCACCCTAATTCACGGGAGGTTTTCTGAATGTGGCGCCTTCACGAATACAGCTGTGTTCACTCCCTTTGTCTCCACTCCTCCCTCCGACTGTTCTGTCTCTGTTCATCTCGCTTAAATTAATCTTTTACCGATCACTTTATTTTATTGCGACCAGTTGCATTAAGGCACTGAGCGTGCTCGACAACGCGAACTGCGTTACTCCTGACTCGTTAGATCAATGATCACTACTCTGCTCGTCCATACGGCCTAATAATTTTCGTTTTAGACCACTGGTTCGGGATATGCTGTTTGATGCTTTAATCCTTCTGGCGCCCACATCATAAGTGCCGGTGCCATCCATCGCTCAACTTCTCGCATTTTCACGACAAAGTCAACGCTTTGGTCGTCCCTTACATTCATCTTTCTAATTCCAGTTTTGAACGGCTGGTCGCTTGTTCCAACGATAGCGTTTGTGCGCTCCATCCGAACTCGTTGCTTCCCATTCTTGAACGGTGTATTATCTACCTGACCCAGCTAATTACTCTTCGGACAAGTAATAATTGCTGTACTCTGCACTGGTAGCATCATTCAGGCGCACTGTTTTGTTGCACACATCGTATATATCATTTGACTTTGAAATCCGGTTTGATATCTCACACAAACAGTATTTCGCTGATAGCAGTATTATCAATACTGTATTCCCCGGCAGAGTGAATCGTGTGTACAATATATCATGAGCTGCCTAGTTTTCAGGCCCAGTAACGATTTATTTTGACACACCACCAAACAGATATTCGCCATACATACTGTACCACCTTCCGGTTGAAATAAAAACGGATGCTTTATTAGTGCCGATGTTTAAGTCATACTTATTGAGGGAATGAGGACCTGTGTCTCAACAGACTGTTAGTTATGTAACTGAAACGTTTTGCTTACCGTGTTCCTTGCACACAGACGTGGTATCGTGTGAGAGAAGCGACTAAATTTAGTTATATATATATATATATATATATATATATATATATATATATATATATATATATATATATATATATATATAGTTGAGTATTGGGAAGCGACATGCGGGTAAACCGAAGCTTCGTTTCCAGGACATGATTAAAGTGAGCCTCTCACGTTCTAATCTTGATTGCAGATCATGTTAATCGAAGGCGGTTGATCGGCGTGCATGGCGCGGTCTACTCTCGAAGGCACTTGCCGAAGTGCGGGAGAATGACCTCATGCATGCAGAGAAGAGGCGGCAAGTGCGGAAGCGGCAAGCACCGATGGGTTGTACTCTATCGACATCAAGCGCATGGTGCTGTAGCCCGAGTCAGGCAGGCTTAGTGAGCCATGAGCGAGGCCACTGGGGACCACTACCGAAGCGACGACGGGTCCTGCAGAGAACGTAGGCAAAACCAGCGCAGCGTTTGTATGTACGCTGCATTTGATTTACTAACCGCGTGCTTGCATGCTAAGTCTGTTTATTTCAGGTGGTGGGTTTTCAGTTTTGTCCTAATGCTTTTCTTATATAAATGTCTAGCTGTACGCTCTTCTATAAACTTGCACACGTTGCTTAAGTCAATTGTAGTTAGTTGCGACAACATTTTCGTGTTTGTGTCATTTCCGTAAAATATACTTTCTGACCTCCTGAACTTATCTCGGATCCTTTGTTAACAACTTATTTCATATGCCCACGTTTCCTTATGCATTACTCGATTTATGTTCTTTGTTATCTTTCTCTCTTGTGATTGGCTGTTGCTTGATATCTCCGGTGTGGCTGCGCTTGGTGTTTATGTTTACAAGGTGCCTACCTGTCTGTTACCCACTACCTCGTCCATACTGGCTCCAGGAGACAGTTGGTCGTTGCTGGAGGGTACAAGGTGCACGGTCCTTGTGCTCGTGCTAGGCTCAAAGAGTGGTTCCATGCACTTAGTGTGGAGCGGACTACGGTCTAGCCACCGCCTTGTGTGTGCGCTTGATTCCCAAATACAGCGTGCTTGTGTTTGCCTGTGAAGGAGTGTGGGCCGGCTCCGTTGATGAAACGTGGCTCCCATTCACATGCCTCCCGGTCTTATTCCGTCGGGTTTTCACCGGATATCCGGTGTGTGGATGGAGCTGTGGGTGGTGCAGCGCAAGCCACCCATGGTCCCTCTGTAGGCGCAGGCGTCATGTGACTGTCCCCTTGGAAGCGGAAGTGACAGGCAACTCCAGAACCGGATGCCGCCAACCATACGAAACTGAATACCGAAAACTCCATGCGCTTCATTTTGCAAATTATGCATTCATACTTAATCATGAGTAAACAAAGGTGGAAGGAAATGTCATACGGAAGAGCTACAGCATGCGTCGCGTTTTGCCACTGAAATGAATGGTCCAAGTGGACTAGTGTGAGAATTTGAATTTATGCTCACTGGCTCATTGTACGCGATGGAAACTACTTCACGAATTCATATGCGTGAATTAAATTCGGATTCATAAATTAGTTCCGGGATCAGCAAACTTTTCATTACACTAAGTTGCCCAAATAGCTCTGTGTCGAATGACCAAGCCGTTCACCAGATGGATTAATCCATTGTGCTAGACGATCCGCGTTCATGCTACAACTGTCGAAGCAGACATGTTAATCGATATAATTTTCCGCCCGTGGTACATCAGCTCTCCGGGCCAAAGTACACATAGGTTCGGTCGGATCACGCCGAATTCTTTGCTACAGTTGTGGTACACACTTGCCCCACGTCACCAATGGTGGATCATGCGTTTCCGTTTCGATGTTATCTGTCTACTTATGTGACACCGTTTCTCTTGTCCTCGGGGACCAAGCATAAGACTCTTGAAAGAGCTTATCAGAAATCTGATAGGAGTGTCACTAGATTTTATTGCCCTAAATTTTGGTGAGCTCAAAGGGTCGATGGCACGGCTTACATTCAAAAGCGACTGCTATTTATATGCATACTCATGAACCATTTGGCTGATAGCTGTGAGTTATCTCTGGTACCTAGTGCCTTCGTACCTCCTTTTCAATCATTGGCTTTATTTGTGCCCAAATTTTATGGTAGTCATGGGCGGTTGGTGTTGTGCATACTAGTAAAGTACGCCGTTACACACACAATGTGTACCATTTGCTGACATTGTAGCCTACTTGTGGATTAAATCCCACCACATGTAAGTTGTCAGCGCTGCAGGCTATGTACCACATACGATACATCACTACAGCTGAGCTATACGTGTACCAGAAAGCGTGGGCTCTCGTGCTCTTGAGGTTTATTGCACTGGGATTTATCATTCTTAGCTGCGCTTGTTGCGAATACTGATAAGGCACCTTCGAAATCACCACCTCAATTACTGCTTCAGGCCGTTACTGAGGGGACGCGATGTACAGTCCTCGTGACAGTGCTTGATTCAGACATTGATGTCACTATAGATGTGGTTCGCGTCCAGTCTACGCCCCGCATAAGCTTGATGTGACTTTAACCCGACTTCGCACTACAGACGGGCTGGTCGGGTCCGAGTCGATCGCGGTTCCTATCCACAAAGCTCCAGGTATTATTGTTTCGAATTCACACTCCATCTGGGGTGTGTGGATGGGACAGAGTAAGAAGCTGATGACAACTATGCATGTGGACACTTGTAGACTCAGAGGGAGGTCTGTCCTGTAACGATCACCACCACCTGGTACTACTATAAGAAGTGGAATGCGAAGATGTTCTGCGATTCACCAGTAACTTATCTGCCATGTGGCATATGCTACTACCGCATGTGATTTTATGGCATTCGAATGGCTTTTGGTCAGAAATCCGTGCTCCGTATTTGGAGATAATGTTCGCCCACTTTTTGAGTGATCATTATTAGTTGTTCAATACTGGTGTTCACAAAATCGAAAACTCCATAACGGTTGACCAGCTAATAGTTATTACCTCGGTCTAACCTGTTGACAATAATACTGAGATACTGTGGGGTCGCAACCGGTGTACAGACGATGGCAATTTGATTACCACTTGTGTTTCGATTTTGTGCGCAAGATCACTTGACCCAGTCCGACACCATTTCCTTTTGTAGGAAATATGCGGTGGTTTAAGTGAACGGGGAATTGTGTCTTCTAGCTTCCTAAGATCCTGGAGCTTCCAAGCAATCCGGGTGACGAACCATCTGTCTTGGACCTTGTGCTCACCAATGAGGAGCTAATGGTCGACACGGTAACTATAAGTGCACTGTTTGGCCTTAACGATCATGTGACGCTGCTCTTCCGTTACATATGCTACTCTGGATACTAGAGGGAAGCCCACGTCGTCACCCATTACAACATCCAGTCCGACCTCGTTCAAGAAGCCAACCGCTCCTTCGTAGCCTAGCAGCCGCCCGACGTCGTCTGGAAGGTTTGTCATCCATTTCACCGGGCTAGTGCCGAATGCGTCAAGAACCAAGGTCTTACATCCGAAGTGGACTAAGTCCATCCTGAGGAGCCGGACCCGAAAATGCATGACATTACTGAATTCAGTCTGGCGCGCTTATAAAGCCTCTGCAATTTTGCAGGCATGGGATGCCTACATAACTCAACGAAACCACTGCATCAAGTTGGTCTGTGAAGACAAACTTCAGCACCAACAGGGACAACAACGAAATTCACTATTAATACTGAAATGCTGTACAGGCACGTCAACGGACTCCGCAATGCAGCATGGAATTCCACTTCTACGTGTAGAAAATGACCTAGCGCCAACTACACGAGAGGTGGTGAATGAGCTTCGGCAACCCATTACTCGCAATCTCCACAGGGAATCGTCACCTCATCCGTTTCTGACACATTTCCCACCGCCCCAGCCTTAAGCCACGTAGCATTCACATCAGCAAATGTGATGAGAAGACTATTGTCCTTGCGCGTGCACAACTCTTCTCACGTGGACCAAAGCATTAAAGACCGCTGCTATGAATATCGGCGAATCTTTAGCTCGGTTTTGTCGATGATGCCTGATGAAATACGGATTCGAACCATGTGGTAACCTGGAGTCGTCGCCCTTATTTATAAGAAAGGGAATTGTATGGATCCCTCGAACTGCTGTCCAGTCGGTCTCCACTCGGTGCTATCCAAAGTAATGGAAGGCATTTTCACAGTAGCACTCGTGGGATACTTTGAGAGCGACAGCATCCTTGTGTCACAGCAGCATGGATTCCGCTGCAAACTATGATGTAAAACAAACTTGCTGCTAGCCCGAGCAAGCTGGACGGAATCAGTCGATGCCACAGTGGGAGCCGACGTTTGCTTGAACTTCTCTAAAGTGTTCGACCGCCTGGATCACCACATTCGCCTTCACGAGCTTCGAAGCTATGAACTCAGTAACTCTGTGCTCGGTCGTATAAGGAAATTCCTCATTAAACGTCAGCTGAATGTGAGAGTCCACAGCTCCATTTCCGACCCAATTGAAGTCCAGTGTGGTGTGCCCCAAGGAACGGTACTGGGACCACGTTTGTTCCTCATCGACCTTGTCATTGTGCTACAGTCGGTCTTTCTACTATTTACGGATGATATCATGATCTGGCACGACATCAAGACAGTGGACGTTGACGCGGCACTGCAGTGAGATATCGACAGGGCCTATACGTAGTAATCTGAAAGCCAGCACCATTTCAACGTGGTAAAATGCGAGTTTGTGAGCATACACCATCAGCGAACCTACGGATTTGGGGATCAACAATTACAACGTTCTCACAAAAGTTACTTCGAGTTAATGTGCAAGATGACTTTGGCTGCTCCATAAAGGCTG